TGTCAATTAAAGCACTCTTCAAAACAAAAGAAAGGCATTGTAAATAAGGGAAGAATAAACATCATAGAAAATAAGGAAACTAACTAATAAATTGGCATAGCACTTTAGCTGTATTTCCAAGTAGTATAAATAAGTTTATTTGCTTATGTCAATTAAAGCACTCTTCAAAACAAAAGAAAGGCATTGTAAATAAGGGAAGAATAAACATCATAGAAAATAAGGAAACTAACTAATAAATTGGCATAGCACTTTAGCTGTATTTCCAAGTAGTATAAATAAGTTTATTTATGTCAATTAAAGCACTCTTCAAAACAAAAGAAAGGCATTGTAAATAAGGGAAGAATAAACATCATAGAAAATAAGGAAACTAACTAATAAATTGGCATAGCACTTTAGCTGTATTTCCAAGTAGTATAAATAAGTTTATTTGCTTATGTCAATTAAAGCACTCTTCAAAACAAAAGAAAGGCATTGTAAATAAGGGAAGAATAAACATCATAGAAAATAAGGAGGAAACTAACTAATAAATTGACATAGCACTTTAGCTGTATTCCAAGTAGTATAAATAAGTTTATTTGCTTATGTCAATTAAAGCACTCTTCAAACAAAAGAAGGCATTGTAAATAAGGGAAGAATAAACATCATAGAAAATAAGGAAACTAACTAATAAATTGGCATAGCACTTTAGCTGTATTTCCAAGTAGTATAAATAAGTTTATTTGCTTATGTCAATTAAAGCACTCTTTAAAACAAAAGAAAGGCATTGTAAATAAGGGAAGAATAAACATCATAGAAAATAAGGAAACTAACTAATAAATTGGCATAGCACTTTAGCTGTATTTCCAAGTAGTATAAATAAGTTTATTTGCTTATGTCAATTAAAGCAGTATTCAAAATAAAAACAACATACTGTAAATAATTGAGAAATAAACATCACGAAGAATAATGAAATTGGCTTTTAATAAACTGGCGCACTTTATTGATATTTCCAAGTAGTATAAATAAGTTTATTTGCTTATATAAATTAAATCAGTATTCAAAACAGAAGCAAGACATTGTAAATATGGAAGAATAGACATCATATAAAATGAAGAAGCTATTAAATTGGCACAACACATTATCTTTATTTCCAAGTAGTATGAATAAGTTTATTTGTTTATGTCAATTAAAATCAGTTTTCTAAATAAAAACAGTATATTGCAAATAATGCCATAATAAAGCAATAATAATGCATACATCATGAAATAATAATGCAATAATAATGCATACATCATGAAATAATAATGCAAATATTGCAATAATAATTCATACATCATGAAAAATAAAGAAACTACTTTTTAATAAACTGGCATCAAGGATAATGTTACAGAATGAAGCATCGAAGACACTCATTAATCACCATGAGTCACCGAGTAACGTCTCCATATATTTATACAAAGAAGGGGCACCATCCGACACATTTCGGTACAGGACTGGATCCTCGCTGACACATCCAACTATGCAAATTTCAGCCGGATTGCTAATAATATATTATTTTACAATATTTCAGATATTTGGTAGGAATTACATATTTAGTACTGTTGGTCACATCAAATATTTTGCAAGATTTCACCTGTTGTTCATAACTGTGGTTTATTATTTACACTATTTGAGTACATTCCGTTATCTGATAATTGCTAAAAATCAATCACAAAAAATTAATCAAAGGAAATTACACTGCATATCAATCATTGAAAATCGATCACACGAAATATTTTGCGTAATACTAATAACATATTAATCACATAGTATGCATAATATTTTGCATAATACATCATTGTGGTTTAAAAAAGGGAAATGGACATAAAAGCAACCCTAACAACCACATTTAGTGATTCTTATAATAATCCCATTAATCATTTTATAAATATTTAAATATTCCCTATAATTATATAAAGCATTATTTACAGTTATATCAAATAGAAATTTCATAATAATAGCATGTTCACACTCCAAACTTTGGTATACATCAATCTAAATAATCATATGTAATATAAACTGAACAAATAATAAAAATTTTGCGCTAAAAGTTGCATATGATGACACTTAGAACCGTTAGGAACAATAAGATTTCCTAGAATGTAAAACAAAATCCTAACTGTCGCATACGAACTTAGTTTCATATACTTTAAATATAATATCTCTTACATTAGTTTGACGTATTGATTTATATTTTCGATATTTGCTTATGAAAATATTGTGTATAATTTAAGATGCATTTCTAATTATAGTTTATTCATATTTGTTATTTGAATATTATTACTAATATAATTATTGTATTATATATTTCATCACATCTTAATAACATCTAAACACACATTACTTAAACATAAAAACTAGGAAATAAATAAATGGCATCAAGGAGCAATTTTCTCTTTCTTTTCTTATCTGAATTTTCCGCGGCTATTTTTTTCACACTGATAATGTGCGACAGTTATTTTTGCATTACACCTCAATAAAAAAAAATTAATTTATTTTTGGACGAGATCAAGTTAATCTGCACCGGATAACTGGGAGTTGTTAATATATGCTTATATACTAAATGTCAAGTTGATTATATACGTAGCGTATTCGGAAACTAAGTACCGTTTCATTCTAGCGCCGTCGCAGCGCTGTGGTAAGCGTTCCGCGCATGCGCACTAGTCTTTCTTGTTCACTGACCTTCAATTGTCGCCATTTTGGTTGCTCTATGTTGTGTTTTCAGTTTGCTGTGCACATTCAAAATGTTTAAGACCATTAGTTCTCCTGTTGACTGTGAGATTCGTGCCGTGATTAAATTTTTGAACGCGAGGAATGTTAAACCGGCCGAAATTTATCGTCAAGTGACAGAAGTTTACGGTGAATACGCGATAACTGATGGAATGGTGAGAAAGTGGGTAAGAATGTTTAATGCAGATCGAACAAATGTCCACGCCGAGGCTCGAAGTGGTCGGCCTTCTGTTGTCACCGATGATTTGGTAAGGAAAGTTGATGAAGCAATTCATGAAAACAGACGCTTCACAATGACAACTCTTTCAGAGGCATTTCCACAAATTTCACATACTGTTTTGTTCGAAATTGTGTTTGACCGCTTGAATTATCGCAAACTGTGTTCCCGATGGGTTCCAAAATGCTCACTGATGTTCACAAAACAAAGCGACTTGGTAGTGCCCTGACATTTCTCACGCGGTACAGTGATGAGAGAGAAAACTTTTTAAACCAAATTGTGACAGGTGATGAAACTTGGGTGTGTCATTTCACACCAGAATCGAAACAACAATCGATGGAGTGGAGACACACTCATTCTCCGAAAAACAAAAGTTCAAAGTGCAATGTCATCACAAAAAATCATGTGCTCTGTCTTCTGGGATAGGAAAGGCGTTTTGCTTACTGAATTTCTTCCCAGAGGTGAAACCATTAATGCGGCACGATATTGTGAGACTTTAACAAAACTAAGGCGTGCCATTCAAAACAAACGAAGAGGAATGCTCAGTAAAGGAATTGTGTTGCTCCATGACAATGCTCGGCCCCATACTGCTGGTGTCACTCAATCGTTAATTCGACAGTTTCATTGGGAGCAGTTCGATCACCCGCCGTACAGCCCGGACTTGGCGCCGTCCGACTATCACTTGTTCCTGCACATGAAGCGCGAGCTTGGTGGCAAGCGCTTTGGATCTGACGATGACACGAAAAATGCGTGTTGTAGTTGAGTAGAGTCGTGGTTATCGAAACTGGCGGGAAGTTTCTTTGACGATGGTATACAAAAACTGGTCACCCGCTATGACAAGTGTTTGATCATAGGCGGAAACTATGTTGAAAAATAGTTTAAGACATACATTTTCATGTAAAAATAAAATTGGATTCGAAAAAATTGTTTTACTTTTTTTTTTTTTTTTTTTTCAAAACGGTATTTAGTTTCCGAATACGCCTCGTAATATTATAACGATTCTTTGAAAGTGGTGTAAATCCACTGTATATTATATGGAGATATTTAAGGGTTTGTGTTTGAATGGTTAGAAAAATATTAGTATGTGTTAATACTCTCATTTTATGTTTTTAAAATATGAAATTGATTTAAATTTATAATGTGATCTTTTTTAAAGTATTATTTAAAAGAAATTTATGCTTTTGATAACCTCAAATGGACTTACAACACTTTTAAATCAACAAAATGTGAAAAATCATACATTTATGAAATATTAAAAATGAAATTTTAATTGATTCAAACAAATATTTTATGAAATTTTAATTAAATATGTATTGTTTTCATCAGAGTTTGTTTCTAAAATTCGTCTTTTCTTTCTGTTTATTGGGATGAGTTCTGTAAAATAATACTAATAAAATATTAAAATTAATTAAAATATAGAAGGAAATGAATCGAATTAAGAAATTAATTACTTATAAATACCTACTGAATCACTCTCCGATTCTAAGATGACATTATCTATTTCGAATATTATATAATATAAAATGCGCCCTTGTTATAAAATTAACAACTAGTAATTTTAGAGGTAATCGATCGTACTTATTTACTTAAAGTTATATGAACAAAGAGAACAAACACATTACTAAGTTTCATACTTAAACGGATTAAGTTTTATACAATAAACGGGCGAAGTACTAAAATTCCAGTTACGAACGAAAGTTTTTATGTCATTAACAGCGTTGCCACACATATATAAAATGAAGTAGAGAAATTATGTAGTAAAATTTTTGAAGTAAATGTTGTCTTTGCAGTTGAAAGTGGACTCGCACCACTTTCAAGATAATTATCAAGATTCAATAATTCAAGATAATTATTGAAGGATTTTCTTAGGAATTGTTTGTAGATAAAAGGTCATAGCAGATTGCATTCATTGTTATCATTAATTAACCTTTTGTCAAAAATGGGCTTAATCAATTTCAAAGAAAACGGCTCATATATTAATATAACTGAGTATAGAATCATTTTGCTGTCATGGAACCTAACTTTCCTATTCCAGATATGGCTACTGTTCCTTCTGGAGTGCCCGCTCCACACACAGTCCTTCGCAGACATGTCCGGCCTCTTTAACTGGACAGCGTCATACAGGCACGATTCAGACGTAGTGGCGCCCTACGAGAAATTCGTGCCCTACGACGAGGACGATAACAGCGACTCTGTGCCGCTACGCAACTACGCTGCTGGCAAGACACGGAAGATTGCATGGTTCGTCTCTAACTGCGCAGCTCGCAATCGCCGTCTTCAATATGTGCGGGAACTTGCACAATACATCCAAGTGGACATGTTCGGCAAATGCGGTCCCCGGCGGTGTCCGCGATCGACTGCCGCTCGCTGCTTCCGCATGTTGAACAGAGAATACAAATTCTACTTGGCTTTCGAGAACTCCAATTGCAGAGATTACATCACAGAGAAGTTCTTTATTAACGGTTTAGGGTAAGTCTCACAATTTTGTCTATTCCAACTCGTCATAGGCCTAGCGGCTAGTTCCGCTAAACACAACATTTGTAAGACACATCATGTAAACACTATCAGAAACACTGCTGAGGTGCAATTGTGCGAATATGTTTATATGTTTATATATGTATGATGGTGTCTGAAAAATTTGTAACTGTGGAGTTTTTTTTTTTTTTTTTTTTTTTTTTTTTTTTTTTGGCGCATTTGGATGCGTTTGTGTACGTTTCATATGAGTATTAAATTATTTAATTTACATCAAAGCACATGAGGGACTATTTGCCTAAGAGATGGCATGCCTTCATAAGACGTTGTAGGGTAGACTCTTTAAGTACTTTCATGACCACACGGAAAAAGAACGAGAATTCCCATCCATCCGGTATCTCAACCCAGACTGAATCACAAGTTTTCAACGATTTTACCTCGCGGTAACTGGTGGACAGGTTTTTCTTACAAGAATGATTAACTGCCTACATGTGTATGTATGCGTTCATGTATGCACGTCAACATGTATGTGTACACTTATATGCTTGCTTTGTCCTTGGGAGTTAGAAAGTGTAGGTGAATATACATATGAATGCGCTTACATTTTTGAATGATTGTAAATGTATATTTGTATGTGTTCGTTTGAGCATGTGTTTGTATGAGTGCGTTTGTAGGGGTGTCCCCAAAATAAAAGTACATCCAGATCGAGTTTCATCACAATACTGCTTTTATTCGTGTATGTGTAACGGGGATGTAACATGGTGCATTGTGGCTCGCGTAAATTCGATTTCCCTACAGAAGGTCTTATAGCGAAATTCTTGTCTTTCGTAAACACGTGTCAATTATTTTTAGTCTGAAGACACTTTAAACACATTTTTATATAGCGAGCTTAATTGGTGATGAATCTTTAACTTGAACTTCGGTTTGACAAATTTAAATGAGGTATGCTTTGCATACGATTACCCGAAAATAACATATTTTTACGTATGTCCCCCGAAAAAGACATAAGAAATACTACCGTAGAATTTATTGCAGTAATTAGTACGGTAATTAATTCTACTACCGTAAGTTTCTGCACCGTCTAATGTTCTACCGTAAAATTAATGTTGTCGTTGTTGCTAATGCTCACTAGTCTGACCTATAGTCAACTAGAGCCCATGAAAATCCTCGTGGCAAGGAGTGCAACAGCCTCATGTTGTTGGCAACTGCCAACGACAGGAACTTTGCGCCTGTCGAGATGGCAAAAATACCAAAATACAACGAAAAGCACTTATAGCAACACCAGTTACAGTGCGATGTCGTTTGGAGGTGAGTGATGCAAAAGGTAAGAAAACATTTTGCAGTCAAGTGATATCCTAAGAAGATAAATATTTTATCTAGTTGGGATTTAATTTTTTAAATGTTCTAACATAAAATTTTTATGAGAATATTTACAAAATAAAATTACTAACCCACAAATTATTACACTTATGTAAAATATTACAATAGTTAATATTTTTTAGGAAAATAAAAGGTTTTATACTCATGTAAAATGGTTAATAAAAGTATTCTTAATTAATTTACCACTCATTCATAAGTAATTTGGAAGTAAGCAGTAGTAAGTACTTATTTATCTAATTAGTTATGCTGAATATTTTGTTTAACTATTTACTTACGTCAGTTTTTAAATTGATAATATTTAAATCTATAAAATAACGCTGTAGGTACACTGTCTCATCGATCATCGGTAAAGCTTTGTTTTGTCACTCTGCGAAGCTTAAGATATTTATGTTTCAAATTTAATTAAAAAACTCAGAAATTTAAAAAAAGTGTATTGCCACTAGGCAAAATGCAATCTTTCGATTTTAATAAACAAATTCTGAAATTTAATAGAAATGTATTGCCACTGCCCGAATTCAATTATTTTTATCTTCCAGGCGATAGTCTGTTGTCGTTCACTAAAGCGTAAGATATTTTAGTTTTCTTTCGAATTTATTCTGTAATTAATTAACAAACTAAGCAGTTTAAAAGCTATAAACGCAAATTTATTTCAATTATCATTAACTAGAGGAAGTACCCAATGCCAGTTAAATTAGATTGAGAGTAATGTATCTAACAAAAGAGAGAACGAAACCGCTGTAATCCTTCTGTAATAACGATGCAAAAAATACGATTCAAAGTCAATTTTCAGTCTGATGCGATATGAAACCCAAGTAAAAAAATTCGATAAAAAAAATAAGCTAATTCCGTCTCATTATATCAGCAACAGTGCCACGCAGTTTTTAATGATTTTTGTCTTTTTATCAAACTGTCGGAAAGGCTCAAGTTCCATCCAATATTTCACCTATATTCGTCGATTAAATGGGCAAAAATTTATCATAATTAATCAGAAATCAATAACGCAAAAAAAAAAAAAAAAAAAAAAAAAAAAAAAAAAAACACAAGCAGACATTCTTCTTTATGTGTGTAGACTTACTATAACATTTAGAAATTTTTGATTTACAAACTCTAACGAGCAGTAGCACCACTTTTCGAAATAAAGCATTTTTATCTCCAACGCGCGACACTGTTGCCACTCGGAGAAATGAGGGCGAAAATTATTCGTTTTTCCGAGTTCTTAATTAATATCTCTGATTTTAGCTTTGAAAAGCAAAAAATGGACATCGACCTTTTCCAGGAGCCAGAAAAGAATTGTTGAAAGTTTGGTGACGATAGCTATAGTAGTGACTGGGTTATTTTTATTTATTTATTTATTTATTTTTTTAAGAGGACAAAACACACAGACTTTCTTCTTTATATATATAGATTTACTAACTGAATTCGTGAAAGTATTCACGAAAACTGGATTCATTAAAACCATTTGTATTTATAAAGAGGAGTGGTCGTTTGTTGTGTGCGTAACTCATACAAATCTACAGCTTTATTCCGATCTTGATGAAACTTTGCACACTTGATCTTCAGTACAAGAGGAAGGTCACTGTCTAAATAAGATTTCAGAAAAAAAAAAAAAAAAAAAAAAAAAAACACACACACAATTACGGATTTAACATTCAGAGCATTTGCCGAGTTTACTTGTGTAATTGTGTAATAGTCGAACTTTTTTTTTTTTTGTTTGCCAATTTTTTATTGTGAAAGTCTAGTGAGACTCTTATGCGGGAAAATCTACTGCACCATAGTATACACTTTCGGCGATTTTTCTCTACTTCAAAACGGGGGGGGAGGGGGGAAGTGTGACTATTAAGCGAGTAAACACGGTATATTAGAAATCTGAACTCATGTCACGCATCTTAGGTTCGCTGTTATTGAGTTTCCGCTATCAGTGGAAATCCTATGTGCCAATGAAGGAATATTTAAATTTTAACAAAAAATAAATATTAATGTTTCAGTTCTGAAATCACTTCGCCCATCTTAGGTTCACGTTGCCGTTGTTGCTTTCCAGCTAACAGTTCTTATTAAAACCTGTGGAATACCATGTTCCTTGCTTTAGAACAGTGTAAAACGCTGTAAATGATTGTTATTAAGAGGTTATTTTATTTTTATTAATATATCACATTTATTAAAAATAATAATATTTTTATTCTTAAATAATTCAAAATTATCTTTAACTTATTCTTCTTACTATTCAAACACTCTTTTGATATTTTTGAAAACACATAAAAGAACAACTACAGCTGTTAAATATGAGGCTCTATCATGCATCTACGATAATGGAGTTGGCACCGTGAACTGCAGAACATAGCTCAGCTTCCAAAATCATAACTTTTCAAATATGCGGTGCTAGGTATTGTATTCGTTAAGGATAATAAAGTGCTAATGCATGCAATAATGAGAGATAACTGTAAACTGCTTTTTATTTTAATATTAAACATATAAGAAGAATGGAAATAAGTCATCTAACTGAGTATAGTGCTGCCATCTATTAGCAGTTAACTTCACTGTGTATGGTGCTGCCATCTATTAGCATTAAATGAAGCTGAAAAATGTATCTAGTTTGAGTTAAAATATTACACTTTAGCAAAATTAATACTACAGTTCAGACAAAACTTGTATGTTTGCAAACTAGAAAGCTAAATTGATTTTTGTCGTTAGATTTACATTTTAAAATATAAAATTTCATGCTGTTAATCTTGATTACTTTTAGAAATATCACACTAAGATTGACGTAATCGACGATTGCGATTATACGGGGGGAGTGTTACTCAAATCAAATTAAGCAGTTTTATTTATAAGTCGTTAATTTTATTTAAGTGCAAATTTTGAGCTAAAACCTGTTCTTAGGTTCACATAAAATTTTTAAATTTCATATTTCATTTTTAAACAAAATGTGAATATTATATGTCTTCGTAAGTTTGAACAGAAGAGTAATATGCGCTTGAAGAAGTTATGTGTGCATAAAATATAATTATCGATTGAATATACTTTTAAATTAACATGAATCTGAGAATTTGTTCCAGGAAAACAGGCAGTCTTCCTAATTTGTCTTAATTAATTATTATCTTGAACAATTAATTTTTTTTTTCTGTGTTCTTCTTTCTGGCGTAGACGTGTTCAGTTGATCAACGTTTATTAATGTTTAACAATGTTTTTGCCCAAAACATTTTAAAGCGACGTTTTCAATTAATTTCGGGAGTCTGTTTTTATTTGAATATACTTAAGTGTTTTATTTTATTTGTCTAGAATCAAAGTTTTTCTTTTCTTTTTGTTTTATTTCTTTTTTCCTTTGCTCTTTTCTTTTTTTTTCTTTTTGTTTTACTTGTGGTATTGAAATCAATGAGTGCAAACATTTTTCTCGATTTTGATAAATTATTCCAAAATAATTAAATTTTTTCTGAACTATTGACTTAAATAGGTTATAGTAGTTATCGATAATTAAAAGCCAAAATTTAAAATCTAACTTTTTAATTCAAAAAAATGTTAGCTAGATGTATTCGTTTTAGTTTTATTTCATTTATATTATCTGCCTAGAATCAAAGCCTTTCCCCCCCTTTTCTTAAAGTGGTAGTAAAATTAAGAGGTCTTAAACTTTTATTTATTCCGAAGTCATTAATTTTCAAAGTTAAATACGAGTATTTAATTAGATGTGCAACAGTTATTCATAATTAAAAGTCGAATACTTTTTTAAACAGTGTTAACTTAATGCATTTTAGTGCATTGTTACATTTGTAACAGGGTCGTTATTGACCCCTGTATCTCGATAAAACTTTAAAGGAGGTGACTGATACAAATTTTTAAAAGTTTCACGGTAAGGAACACTAAGTTTTCAATACTTGTCATAAAGTGTCTTCTTGTTTTTTTATTTGGGTCAATGTCCTCTGCAAAATCAGTGCCTTTCTCGTGCCTTTCTAACCATTCGTTTGACATCTTGTAAGTTAAAGGCGGTTTACTTTCTCCTTCATTATCGCTGCTTTCACTGTCGGTTGGCGTAATAAAGATCATCTAATTCTTCTTCCGTCATTCTCGGTTAACTTTTTGACTTCTCATTCTTCCATAACTGGAGATCCTTTACTGCCAGCTGACGTAGTATTGAATTTTTTAAATTTAAAGAAAGAGAATCACAAAAGGAGAAGAAGATAAACACTGGTAAAAAAGTGTAACAGCTCTGCTAGTATGAATGAAATGATCATAACTCGGCCTAGTTGACTCATCTGTCTGGCAGCGCCAAGTACGAGTACGTGGTTTCTTGTAAAGACTACGCTGCTATAGCAAACTGGCCTCTGCACCGCACTGCGCAGGATTGAAATTTTAGCGTTTGAGAAATTAAATAGAAACAGTTAAGATAATGCTATGCTTTGCGCATACGCGCAAATTCACGCTCCGGAAAGGTTGACTGTTTCTTTTCAAAGCATAGAAGCATTAGAAGTGTGCGAAGATGAAGGTTTTGATACTAGATTAAAATTAGTGAAGTTATGCTTCCGTTTTGTTAATATCGGTTAGCTAAAAACAAAACTTTTAACAAGCCCATAGTTAAAATAAATATGTCATTATTATCATTTATTGAAAATTTGTCATTAATATTGTATAAAATATTTCAATATCCCTTTCGCGGTTATGTAAGTATGTGCGTTTTTAACATTGTATAAGAACCACATGACGAAGATCCATTTACAACTGGAGTATTAAAGAACGATACTACTTTTGAGACAGAAATGAGAAGTAACACATTGAAAGGAGATTTAATGGACGATTACTAATCAATGTTAGAATTTTATTTTGCTGTTTTCTTATTTTACCGACATTAATATATCTAATTGATATTTTGTGTGTAAAATTGATAATTACATACGGGTGATATCATCCATCTTTCTCTTTCCAGCCACGACGTCATTCCCATAGTCATGGGAGCCCGTCCAGAGGACTATGCAAGGGCCTCTCCCCCCAACTCCTACATACACGTGGAGGAGTTCGCTGGTCCCGCAGAGTTAGCCCATTACCTGCATCTCTTGGACAGCAACGACACCCTCTATAACTCCTACTTCCAATGGAAGAACCGGGGGGAGTTCATCAACACTCGATTCTGGTGCCGCCTCTGCGCCCTCCTCCACGCCCCTGTCGTCCCTAAGGTCTATACGGACATCCACACGTGGTGGGCTGGCAAGGGCACGTGCACGAAAAACGAGTGGAGAAGGCCAGAAACATCTTCGATCCCCTCCCCGTCGCCCGCTTAGTGGGCGTTTGCCAACCAGTAAGGTTTTTCTAGGGCTTCCGAAGTCGTTCATCCGGGTCTCGAACCCTGTATACCTCAATTACACACTTGTTAGAATGGAATAAAATCTTGATTTAGTTAATTGGCGTGGTGTGGTTTATTTCCTTTTAGGAGGGAAAAGAACACCTGGAAAAATGTGTGTTAAGTACCTAAAACTGAACTCTTAATCAACTGCAGTAATTTCAGGATGACTCTCCCGGTTAGCCCAAAACTGCTTAATCCGAAAGAAAAGAAACACAGGAAACCTACAACAGTGGTCTAAACTTTCAAACTGCTTGCTCAGAATGCACAATCTAAAAGCAGCTGACGGACGGGAATTAGGTGGAAACAAATAATGAATAAGAATAAAAATAAAATAATTTTTTTAAATAAAATAAAGCTTTTAAACAAAATTATTTTTTTTCTATTACACATTTATTAAAACAGACATAAAAAGTAAAAATAATGATGAAAAAATAAATAAAAGATATAAAAATCTGAAAGCTTTCAGATATATACGCCAGAATATATATTTCATATATATAGATATATATATATATATATATATATATATATATTTCAGATATATACACATATATATATCTGAAAGCTTTCAGATATACTTTAATATATACGCCAAACGGGCTGTTTTTTAACGTTTTGTGTGTTACCTTTATTACCTCGAAATAGTTTTAAAATGAGCATATCTTTATAATTTCCGATACACAGTCTCGCGCGCTGGAGATAAAAATGTTTTTTTATTTCATACAGTGTTGCTATTGCTCGCTTTGAAATCTTTGAGTTTGCTAATCAAAAATTCGTTAAAGTTTTACAAAATATGAATAGATAATGAAACAAATTCCAAATTTGGGCTTCTAGCTGCTCGTATTCAGTGGAAAATTGCAAAACTGGATGACTCTAGATACCGTTGTTTTATCACAATCTAGAAACATGCATACATTTATGCAGATTCTTCATTATTTAGTTTCTTTAAATATAATACAGGGCGATAATATTTGATGGGAACAATTTGAAAAGTAAACCGACATTTATAGTGAACCAACGCAAAATGCCAAAACGAAATTAATAGTCCTTCTGGGCAAATTGCCCCTCTGGACTATAAAAAATCGAGGTTATATTTAAAGGATGGAATATGCAAGAAATTTCTGTATTTCAGTCATTAAGGCACTCTTTATATTTCAAATGTACTGCTAGCTGCATGTTAAATTTCCAGACAAAAATTTATTAAAATATTTCTAACATACTGAGGTAATCACTAAATAACTTACTTAAATTAAAAATAAACAAATTACGAAAAACATCCGAGAGGAACAAAACTTGAGAGTAAGTAATGCCAATGTATTCGCTTTCTTTTATTTATTGCTTTTTTTCTGGGACTCGAACAGAAATATTTGTATCTGTATATCATGACGAGTTGTAAATACTCATCGGCAATCTGGTTCTTATTAAGTTTCAAATACGGAAAAAAAAAAAAAAAAAAAAAAAAAAAAAAAAAAAAACTGGTTTCAATCTAAATGCACTTCCACATGTGTTTTTGAGTTTTTTCTTATTGAAAAATTCTCAGCTGAGGGTATTTATTTTTGAAAAGTATGTACAAAAGTTAATCAAACCTATATCATTAAATCTTTAAATAAGATTTATATCACAATGTACATTTTTGAATTGCATTTGTATATTTTCTGAGGCATTTTTCAGATTCATTTTCTTCAAATTTTTTTCATAATAATACTAATTAATTTACGCGAAATACGTAGGGAGATAAATGGAAACCTTAAAAATGTAATAAACATACCGTTTCCAGCGCCATTGATATGTAATTTGACAGTACAGTTACCAATGTTTTAAAGAATGCCCAGCAGGGGGCAGAATACTGTAGACAAGAGAAAAGCGGTCAGAATATGCTTAAAATAGCTGCCCCGCTTGCAACATGCACCAGTGAAAAACAGTGTTCTGTCATAAGTTTTCTGAGAAGTGAAGGTACGATACCTATTAAAATCCATCGGTGAGTGAAAGTCAATATGGTGAGGCATTTTTACTACTGTAGCAAGTGTACGAATGGAATAAAAAGTTTTAAAATGGCCTGACTTTTGTGGCAGACGTTTCTAAACAGTGTCAGAAACGGCGTGAATTCTGTGGTCCCTTCCCAGATCAAGCATACCGCACTGTGATACCAGAGTGTATTGCAAAAGCTAAAGCTATCGTGATGGACAATTGTCGTGTAATGGTGGATGAAACAGCCGCAGATCTGATCATTAGTCATAGCTTAGCGCAACACATTATTCATGACATGCTTTAGTTTCGCAAAGCGTCTGTAAGGCGGGTGCATCCCAGCATTTTACTTCAGAACTGAAAGAACGATGCGTTGGAGCCTGCGAAGAACTATTGCAGCGCTTTGAAACAGAAGTTTATGGCTTCCTTGCGAGAATCATTACATGGGACGAAACCTGGGTCCACTACCACCCACCCGAAACCAAGACAGCAAGCAGGGCATGGCGCCATTCCTCATTACCCAAACCCAAGGTGGTGCTGACGATCTTTTGGATGAACGAGGCGTTATTTTGAAATACTACACGCTTAGGGAAAACACCATGACCAGCGCGTAATATTCCGATATGTTGAAAAATCATTTCGGCCTGCAATCAGGTCAAACCGACTTGGAAGTGTGACTACAGATGTAATTTTGGAACGCGACAAGGCTCGACATACAGCTTGTGCAACAGTTGAAACCATCACTGACCTTTACTTTGATACTTATCCACATTTGTCAAACTTACCAGACCTTGCCCCCAAGTGATTAACACGCGTTTGGACTACTCAAGGAGGTGATGGGAGGAAATTTCGTTCCGATGAAGAGGTTCATAAAGCGGTGCACGAGTTGCTGCACACACGACAACAAGAATGTTTTTGCAGACGAATCCGTTCACTTCCTGTGCGCTGAAGGAAGTTTATTGAATGTCAGAGAGACCAATTTGAAGAATGGTACTTTTTTTTTGTACTTTTATTCAATAAATCCCACGTAAAAATGTATTTAAGGTTTTCATTTGACTCATCTTCATATACTGACCGGCTGTGTAAAACTGCTTCTTAGGCCAAATGCGGTCCGTGGACCTCTAGTTTGAGGCCACTGATCTACAACGAAAAACTAAGATAATTTCATTTTCAATTGAAGCAGTCCATTTTAATAATTTCCTTCTTGAAATAGTTTTAGTATAATTCAACAGTATATAAAATCATATGTAATTATGAAAGCTGCCCGAAATGTCATCCAAGACCTGCCAGTCCAAAACAGTCATTCCAGAGACACTTTTAGCTAGAGTTAGGTCAATCCAGCTTCATTCCCTGCTACGAGAATAGGTTGGTCGCATTGGATCATTTTCTATCACAAGATTGTGCATAATAAAAAATTCGCGCATATCGACACCTCGGGAGTCTTCAAATGGGGAGATCCATGCCATACCTTTTGCATATAAGTCTCCGGTGATTATGATATTGCTGTCATATTTATTTATTAATCTCCATAAAACATGAAAGAGGACAGTCAGGTTCTCAGATGGCGGGAAATAACAGTTTATAATATGGACTTAACTTGTGGAAAGTTTACTTAAAATGACCACTATATCACGAGAAATATAAGTCTGAATAAAGAAAAGACTGTGGTTTTGCGCTACAATAAGACTACGTAGGATCAAGTAGTGATCCCAAAACAATTTGCTCGTAGGATGAACATTTATTGGAAAGCCTTTAAAGCAATGAAGGTCTTGAATACATGCAACATCATAAAGAACAATTTTTTCCTTTAATTGTGTAGCTGCAGCTTGGCAGCGTGCTAACATAATTTGTAACGCTTTTATCTAGGAGCAAGTAGACAATTAACCACAATTAATACGGTTTAGGTTAAAATAACAGGCAGAATAATGATTATGGGAGAAGTCAAAGAACAAGAAACAGCGTAATATTTGTAAATTTTGCAGTACTAGTTTTGATGGTTTAACTACAAAACTGTCTTCCTCAGTTGCCTAAATGCAAATGAACGAGATAAGATATGATGATAAGATAAGAATGGCTGGACAGAAATTAAGCTACTGGCCCCATCTATTGATGAAATAAGGACACTAAAACATAATTTCCTTAAAGTCTGAAGGTAAACATGGATTGGAATTAGGGTCGTTAATTAGAAAAGAAAGATTTATTTGAATGTGAAACGGGATGAACAAGGCATAGATTCAACAGTGACACGGGATCAGAAGGGCATAAGTTCGATAGCAAAAGATTGACACCGTCTAAAATTGACTGAGCATAGAAACACCACTGGATAATATCGGTTTTGCATAGGTTCGACACCGACATATAACAGACGTTAGGGTAGCATAGATAAGGCTTATCATTAGCAAAGCCAATCAATTAGGAAGAATTTGATTAAATTACTATAGTTTAGTGTACCTGCGTGGAATCAATACCGGGAAATTATCGATAGATAGATGGGATAGATAGACAGATAGATGGTAGATAAATGTAGGGAGGACACTTAATATCACCACCTCCAGCTAATAGAAATAGCAAACAGATATCATCTGGCTGTACTATTTCCTTAAGACGAAACACAAGATAACGAGTTATGACTACTCTTCTTCTGATGTGCATTTTTATCTTGCACATATTTACCCCAACACAGCAACATTTAAAACTATTTTTACGTTTATTGTTCATTTTACAAAGCTGCTATTGTGATATTAAATATTATATTAATAAAATCTAAGGAATGCGCCGTAGTTTGAAGAAGAAAGAGCTGTTTGGATGATGTGTGAGTGATGCAGTTCAGTATATAAAGAAAAGTCATTCTTTTAATTACTGTGAAATTCCTCTGGTTGGTTTTTATTGTGTACTTCTTGAAAGATAATGTGTCTGCCGCTGGGAGCTTGCTGTGATGTGAAGCCGTTAATGGTTATTTGAAAATTTAATAATAAGGATCCCCTTTTTTCCCACATATTCAGTTGTCAGTAGGAAGAGATTCCTTTTGTAAAATATGTCGGGAACTGACCGTGTCCTGCCAAGTACTGATTCAAAAAGACAAATGACCCATTT